TATTACTTAAAAGATGATAATATTACTTAAAAATATTATGAATTTTATTACATAGAAAATTACTATTAATTTACTTAATCGTAAAATATAGATCCTGTTATCACTCTCATTGTGCAGATGAGGAAACTGGGGTACAGAAAGGTAAAGAAACAAATTACACTTCTACAAAGTTGTAGAACCGGTTTCAATTCAGCAATTTGACACCAGAATGGCTCTCTTGATTAAACCTTATGCTATAGTGTCTTTATGTTTGAGAGAAACATGATATAACTGAGAAGAGAGAGTAGGAAGAAGAAATTGGAGTGAGGAAAATGCCTAAGCAGGGCACAGAAACAAGATCAGACAATGGGAATACTCTGGAAAATAAATGAGGATTGAATTGATTGGCTGTCAATCATACAAAGAAATAAAGGAATCTAGGATAATTTTTGAATTTCTGACTTAGCAGCTGTTTGGAGAGTGGTTCATTTTATAGCAACAAGGAGGGGGTGGGAGGGGTAGGCTGAAGGAATAGTGGCAGCAGGGAATGATGCATTCATCTAGTGCATGTGGAGATGCAGATGCCTGTGGAGTTCCAGTGGGAGTTCTTGAGAAGGCCCTGCATGAGGCCTGGAGGCCAGGTGGAATTTGGTGTAGTAGTGAAGAAAACACGTAGAATTAAATCCAGACCCCCTAATTATGCCCACAAGTCCCTACATAGTGTATCTCTGGCCACTCTCACCAACCTCACTCCCCTCTTGCTTCCAGTACTCTGGTCTCTCTGGTATTCTTTCTGTCCTTCAACACACCAAGCTTGCTCCTCCCCCAGTGCCTTTGCACTTTTTCTGTCATATGGAATGTTCTGACCATTACCATCCCACCTCTTTTCATTCAGATCTCAGTTTGAGAAGGCTTCACTGATCACCAAATGTAAAGCAGACCCATTAGTCACTGTCAATATTATGACTTTTTTAGAGCACATGAAATCATCTGAAATCATTTTCTCTATTTGTTTGTTTTTTTTTCCTCTTCCAGAGTATATGCTCACTGGAAACACTGGCCTTGTCTTTTTTACCATTGTATCTTCAGGGTGTAGGCAGCAATGCAGACAACATAGTTGTACAATACATATTTGTTAAATGAATTAGTGAAGATATAAATATGTATTTGAAGTCATTATCTCTTAGATGAGAGTTGAGGTCATGGCATTAATTAGAATGCATTAGAGAAGCATGCAACTAGAGTGATCAGGGAAAGAGAAGAATGGCTTGACATCACTATTATTCTCTTCATATCTTCTTTAAGGATAAACGGTAATCTTTTCAACTGAAAATATAGGTGAACTAATTCTATAAATATTCACATTCAGTTAAAAATGGTTTCTTTTTCATTTGAAATTTATAGCTACTTATGCTTAAATAAAATATATTTGTCTACATTATATGGAAAATCTCTTTTAAGTTTCTGTCTATATGGAAACATACTAGCAAAAGCATTTTAATAAATCCAAAGTACAACCATTGTTAGAAATTAACAACAAAACAAATAACTAAAATAAAATGTATTGAACTTGGTCTTTCAAATAAATAAGAAAACACAGAGAACAGTAATAAGAACTAGTTTTTTTATATAGTAACTCAACAAGAGGCCATCCAATATAAAATTTTTCTCAGATACTATAAACTGCCCATACCAATTAAAATTCTAAACTAATGAGAAAAAGTGAGTAGACAGGCATAATTTACTTAAAGTTACTTACTGGTAGAGGAACAAGTGTTGGCATAATCAATGTGGTGAAGTTAATGATCACAGACCCTAAATGGGAGAATACAGTTAACTTGCTTTTACTGTTACTGCTGTTACAGTTATACCAGTATACTGTTATACTTCCTTTTACCATCGGCAAAACACCTTTATGTGTTTAGGTCTCAGAATCTTTACCTGTGGAATAAGAGGAGTCAAACAGATATTTGAAAGGTACTTCTTGGGTTCTCTCTGTATGCTGTTAAAATCTGTACACTGTGTTTACTACATACATCCTGTCCACAATCAGGAAATTTAAGTAACTGACCACAAGGGGGAGAACTTTAATTCTGCATTAAATTATTTAATACAATATGAAATGATTTGAAAGTACTTGGCTATGTGAGGTTGGTGATAGGCTGCTTCATTTCCACTTCCTTGTGGAAATTGGGACATTCAACTGCTAGTGATAGGTTTAACTTAATTGAAATGTGATTTTGTGTTTGTAGAGTTATGATACAGTCACCGGATGTCAAATTATATTTGTATTAAGCAATGATGCTCCATGAAGGTATCCAGATGCCTTTTTTATTAAAGTGATGATAGTAGAATGTTACAATTCACCGTGGAAGAGTTTTTCCTTTCAAATAATGTTGTTTAAGTTATTCTGCAAGAAATCTATTACCTTTTTGAATGTCAACTCTGAAACAAGGATAGGATCATCAACAGGGCAGTCTGTTGTGAAGTATTCATATAAAAAGAAAAGAATTAGAATAGTGCTAGCCACACCACTTGAATGTAATATGATCATTGGCTTTATATGAGTATATGTTATATGTTTGTTGTTACATGAATATTAAATATTATATGTTCACACTGTTAAATATTCATTTTTCTGTTGGGGTTAACTTAAGTACTTTTATTTTATTTAAAATTTTATTTTAAGGCAATTATAGCTTTCTTTATTTTTAAAAAATTTTATTTGATTTTATTTTAAGTTCCGGATACATGTGCAGGATGTGCAGATTTGTTACATAGGTAAATGTATGCCACGGTGGTTTGCTGCACATGTCTTCCCATCCCTTAGGTATCAAGCCCCACGTGCATTAGCTATTTACCCTGATGCTCTCCTTCCCTCATACCCCTGACAGGCTGCAGTGTGTGTTTCTCTCCCTGCGTCTATGTGTTCTCAATATTCAGCTCCCACTTATAAGTGAGAACATGAAGTATTTGGTTTTCTGCTCCTGCATTAGTTTGCTAAGGATAATGGCCCTCTGTTCCATCCATGTCCTTGCAAAGGACATGATCTTGTTCCTTTTTATGTATAGTATATATTCATAGTATTCTATGGTATGTGTGTGTGTGTGTGTGTGTGTGTATATATATATTTGATAAAATCCAGACATTTTATCAATTTTTATCAATTTAAAATATATATATACACACACACATATATATACACACACATATACATATATATACACACACATATACATATATATACACACACACGCACATATATATAACATTTTCTTTATCCAGTCTATGATTGATGGGCATTTGAGTTGATTCCATGTCTTTGCTATTGTAAACAGGGATGTGATGAACATAAGCATGCATATATCTTCATTCTATTATTATTTTCATTAAGAATTAACTTATGAGTCATACTAAGGCTTAAAAGTTCACATTTTTAGAATTCATTAAGCTAAATTTGCAAGGTATGAAGATAAGATTTCTGGATTTTATCAAATATACCCAAACATACACAGCTAAATGAGTCCAATTTAAAGACATTATATTAGTAACCTATATAAGTATCTCAATAACTCATTTGTTACTGAAAACAATTTGTGCTTCCCCTTAGAAGCATTGTCACTCTCTTTTTAATATGTTTAGTGACAGCAGACCTGTCTTTGAGAGTGAGTATAGATTAAAAAAAAATTCTATATGGAGATCAAATCTTAAAGTTACTAATTAAGTTGGAGTGTAATGATAATTTAGAGATCAAAAATTAGGTATAATTAAAATATTCAATCTCCCTTTGATTTATAAACCTGCTTTATTCAACTGCCATTGAGTCACAAAACGTTTTCAGCAATGGTAGTGTTACCTGGACAAATATAAATCTTCCAGAAGTGACTCCTATACGGGGTAAGTTTATTTGAATAAATTCATTCTGATGTATTCACAAAAATGAACAAATAAATAAGTAACTGAAATTATTTCTAGTCACAATGTGTTTATTTTCCAGTTATGTTCATAGTTGAGCTTTCATGAATTCTTTAAAATTACGATATACTAAGTAAATCAGCAATTTTATCGTTGACAGATACTCTATAACTTCTTTCAAAAATGATTAAGATTGTTAATAATTCTCTTTTTGGCTTAGTGAATTAGGTTTCTATCGGTATTTCTCACACCAAAAAGTATTATAGACCCATAAAAAGATCTATGCCAGGCAGTGTGGTGAATATACATCTTATTGCTACTTGTACATCCAGTGACTAGCACAGTGATTGGCCGACTAGCACATTTTTACCAGTAGCTATCCAATAAATTTTGGTACATAAATTAATGAATAATAAATGATACAAAGAGCTTATATACATATGTATTATTTTCCCCATTACATATGTATTATTTTTCCACAGTGCTGCATAATCATTCACCCAAACCTTAGTGGTTAAATAAACAATAATCACTAATGTTCACGAAACTCCAATTTGGGCAGGACTCAGTGGAAACAGCTCATCTCTTCTCCACACAATGTCAGCTGAGCTGGCTTCCCAGGTTTACCGGAGGCCTGGGATCTGGGGCCACATGTCTAGTGGATGATAGGGGCTGTTGGCTGCGACCTCAGCTCGGGATGTTGTCTGAAATTGCTGGATTTCTCACAGCATAGTGTTTGAATTCCAGGAGCTAGCATTCAAGTGAGCAAGGCAAAGTGCACAACATTTTTATGACCTAGCCTTCGAGATCACACGGAATCATTTCTTTTGTATTTTAGTGGTTGAGGCAGTCACAGAGGAGGTTTGCCTGCGTTCAAGGGGAGAGAGTTAGAAGCCACTACACAATGGGAGGAATATTAAGCTCATGTTGTAAGAAAGGCGTGTGGGATTGGATATATTGCAGTAACCATTTCTGGAAAATACAATATGCCATAATTTCTTATTTATAAACATACAATTTTTTATCCAAAACCCAAACTTCTATTCACTAGCTAACTTTAGAAAATACTATTCCCAAACAAAATTCACCCTGCTAAAGAAATTCTGTCTGATCCAATAAACATTTATTATCCATTATTCTCTTATATATGCTAGTCTTCTCTCCCAAACCACTTTCACATTCATTCTAATACTGAACCAAGGAGTATATCTTTGTTAAACGTTTTCTCTATTCCTTTTTTGGCTGGGAAAATATTTACTTACGTTTCCAGTCAGTTTGTCACTGATCATTTACTACTGATGGGCCCCTGTGTCTTTTTCGCAGTTTAAAGAATAGACAGCCTATTGTTGATTAATATTAGGTGTTTTTTTCTAAATTGATATAAATTTTGAAAGTTATATACTCTTTCTTAGCTAGAAGAATTCTCATTTTGTCTAAAACATTTTTTTTCTATTACTAACTTGAAAGAAACTTCAAGTTCAGTTAAAAGTGAAAAACACCATTCTAATTAATGATGTATTACAAAATTTGGAAAATAGAATGGTCTTTCCTAAAATTTGATTCTGTTATGTAACAATGATGCATCTCATTTTTGTTTATTATATACATTTTGTTTGTTACATATAATTTGGTCAGTATTTTCATATGCAGAACAAAATTTTCTGCAAACAAAAAATTTGAAGTGCACAGTGAGATTGGTTTGGCCCCCAAATAAGTTAAAAATTAAATAAAAAAAAATTAAAACGATGATATAAGTATTTTCTCCATTAACTCCAAAGTCTGTTTCATAAGATATTAAGGTAATTTGGGACATATATCATTGCAGTATTCAAAATATTGATGTCAATTAATTGTTTAAACAAGCTAAAAACTTTTAAACAATGCGAAAAGTATTCATCTGGATAAAAGAAGGGATCAACTTGAAATTGGTCATATAGAAATCATATATAATTAGTTACTTTCTAGAAAGTGAATTGAGAAAATAACCAGATTGTTTATTTTACATAAAATCATTTAGAAGTAAGTTTTAATAGTGGGCAGATAATGTTTTCTGTGTACCCTGCCATATCCCTTAGCGCCTGGCAAATGTTTGTAACATAGAGGGATGTTCAATAAATGATGTTGCATGGAGTAGCACAATGCCATTTGAAAATGTATTTTCTTCTCATTCCAAATAGCTATTGTTTTCTGTAGCTTTATAATGGTCTCAATGCTCTTGATTGTATAGGCCAGAATTTATGGGCTTTGGAAATATTTTTTATAATTAGATTTTGTTTTCTGAATGCAGGAATTTTACAGTGATTATTCCTTCACTTGTGCTCTCAAAGCCCTTCCTATATACTGCTACTATAATGATATATTATATTACATTACATACCATATCGTAACTACTTCTACATGTACTTTCCTCTAACCTTAGGTTGCAAGCAACTCAAGGGTGGGATTTTTCTTCTCTATTTTATACCCTCAGAACACTGTACTTCTGGTGTGTAGTCATGACTATTCATTAACTGTTGAGGGATTGGATGACAATCTGAATTCCATTTGTCTTTTTTCATCCATTTTATTTTTTTTGAAAAGTGTCAATTCATGAAAATGATGTTAATATTTGAGAACTTATGATAAACTTATTAAACCCATCTATCTAGTAAAATAATGTATTGAACTCTAATATCACAACAAATAGATACATTTTAAAGTTTAGCTCAACATACTCTGTGAAGATTAATATATTACCTCCATGTATATTGCAATGTTCTGTTTCTTTTCTTTTAAAAGGGACAAGTAACTTTAAGAATGTTTTCTTCTTTATTTAAGTAGCACAAATTCCTTAAGAGACATGAGCACATTATCCCTCTCAATCCTAGAAACGTGAAGGAGCAGGCCATACCACCTCAGAATCCAGAATGATGTGTATGGGTCTATTATACATGTTTATAAATGTTGCTGGGTCCATGAATTCTTCAGATTTGCACAAGTACTTTATGATTTGTTCTGGGAGGAGCAGGTCAGGTGCAACTTGGTGTAAGTTATCACCTGGTCCTTTAGTGCCTACTTTCATAGTCTTGCAAAGATAGACTGACAGTTTATGAGTTTGTGTGAGAAAATCTGTGATGACCTCTTTTAGGGACTGTGATTGTGTCACATCATCGAGATACATAACTGGCACTTTTATCACTGAAACATGCCATTGCATAAAAAGCCTCATTGGAATGTTATGAGAAATGACTATAATTTTCATTTGTTGAATAAAAAATTCTGTTTCATCTTTGTCATGGCCAGTATAATCTAAAAGCACTTGGTAGAGAGTGTCGCTGGAGGACTCGAGGATATGCAGAATGGAAGTAGGATAGATGAGCAGCAATCCTGTCACTGTTTCTCCCAGGTGATGTTTCAAAACTGACTGAAACACTTGTTCATAGTAGTCAGCAACATCTTTTCTTTCTACCTTTGTTTGTATCTTGGCCACTAGAAACATCCTATGAAGAAGGAATTTCTTTAGGTGTAGTCGTTGTTTCTCCTCTTGAAAGTGCAGGTAATTGCTACGTGGGACTTGGAGCAAAAGATGAGGCCCCAGTGGCAAAGGCCTTTTGCTGCCCTTCTGGTTACGGACTGAAAAGGACATGATGAGTCTTATTTATTTTACCAGATGATTCTAGTTTTTAGCTTTTCATGATATTTACGCTGTCTGGGTGCCTCTGTAGTGATGAACTCTTGTTTTCATTTCTTCTGACAAGAAAAAAAAAAAAAGAGTAAATCACAGTTTGTCAAATGTTACTAAATAGCAAAATCCCAATCTTTTACCAGTTTTATCAGGAAACAATATCTTTGAAATGAAAGATAATGTTAAAACAATACTCAAACTATAGAGTTTTTTTTTTTTTAAGTTTACAATGAAAGAGCTAAATCATATCCTAGGAAAAAACTTTGTAAATGTCATGTAATGGTGATTACAGATTGTCCTTTATAAGACAAATTTTAAAAAATGGTATTTTTATGGTAATTCTTCCGATTTCTTTTATAAATCTAACTGGTCTATAACTCTTTTTAAAAAATCCAAGGCTTTCTAAGTCCTAATTAGCTATGTAACCTTTAGTCAGGACCCTAATAGTTAATAATGTTCCTTGATTAATTACAGTAAACATTTCAAGGGAAAAGTTTTGGTTCTTTGTTTTTCCTCCTATCGACAAATCTCAGAAATGATTCTTTTTTTCCCCCCTTTATTATTATTTTTTTCTTGTTGTTGTTGTTAAGGGCTACATGAAAGTATTCTGCTACTTTAACTTACTCTGCTTACAAATCTCCTCAAATTTTTTTCCAGGTCAACTTACCATTTTTCTTTGTTTCCTGTGCTTCTGTCACGTACCTGTCCTCCAGGCCCTGCTTGTCCTCCATCAGGCTCCCAACTGCCAGTTCTCTGGTGTTCTCAGCTGTCCTGTGTTCTGCCTTCCCTCAGGCATATGTGAGTCAGAATGTCAGCACCATTAAAGGACCAGAGCGCCAAGTTTCTTAATTTAATACGGGTATCTTGACAAACACTTCAAAGTCACTGCAGAGGAAGTGTGAATGGCTTATTCCTGAATGGTTTATTTTTAGTCAGGTGCATTTGTAAGTCAGACAGATGGTGAGAATCTGGACATCTTTTTCCTTTCTTTTTTTCTTTTTGATAAATAAAAAGTATGGTTGTAGAACTCCTCTGTTCTACTTAGACACTAACTAAAGACTTTAAGAACACATATCTGAACCTATGTAATGGTGAATATGTGATGAGAAACTTCTATAGTAAGATTTGGTTTACTTAACTTAATGTGAATTTAATTTAAGAGCTGCACCTCTTAACATTGTGTCTTAAAAGATGCACCTCTTAAAATTGTGTCTTAAGAGATGCACCTCTTAAAATTGCATCCACATGAGTTCTAAACAATAATTTTAAAACAAGTTTAGAAAACATGTTTATTCAATTTTTAACAAACCTAAGAGTAATTTTTTCCCTGAGGTCTGTATTATCCAAACTAATGATCCGATTTTAATGAAAATACAATGATAAATTATCTAAGTAAATGAAGGTAGAGAGGTGAGTTAATAATTATTTAATGGTGTAATACATAAAAATGGACTATTCTTCCTCATTGTGATTCACTTTGTCACTCCCTGAAGCAATACAATGTTTCCCAAGATGTAAACCATGGTGCCAAACCATGTCATTGCCCAGTCTAGTTATTATCTCACTCTCATTGTTCTTACAGCTTTGCTGGAAGAATGTGTCCATGTTGACCAGAGCCTTCATTATGGCCTTCTCTCCTCTCCTGGTTTCTATGATATTGCACTTTCTTGGATTTCTTTCTAAATCTCTATATGTGGCCTCACCCCGTAATACCTTCCCACACCCAACTTTGGAAAATACTGAGGCTCTGCGCTCATGATGTGGATGGATGTCCTGCTCTACTTCTTTGCCCAGTTAGCTCAGTACCATCTATATGTCTCTTTTGTGAGGGCAGGTAAGTGGTCCTTAAAGTCACTCTTGCCACTAGATTGCACGATTGAAATTGGAAAGTGATCATGGGACTTTCCTGCGGAGCTTAGCTGTGGACTAAAAATCTTTTACAATCTGAGGCTCAAGGTAGACACAACTAGTTGATTGGGGTTGAGAAAGAAGAAGAAACCGAGATCCCATTCTAGATGATTTTTGCACAGAAAATTCTCAAATTATTATCTCCAGTCACTTATTCACAACTCTTCTCTCCTTGGATGTAACTCTGTCTTTTCAAATTTTAAACGAAAACATTTAAACAATTATTTTCCTTATTGAACATGTTTTCCTTTACAAATACCCCACTTGTGTCTAAATTAACACTTTTTTTTCCCTCTAGTTCCCGGGCCAAAATCCTTGGTATTATTTTTTCATGTTTCCTCTAAGTTGTATACTCCAACTGTATTCTGTTACTAAGTCTTTTTACTCACTTTAATATGCCTTAAGGGTTCTTGATTTACACTACCTCTTTCACAGTCCTACTTCTTTATTTGGATTATAATAAGGGTCTCTATCCACAGTATTTCTAGATTTCTCCACCCCAAAAATTCAGCTAAGAGTGTGAAACCGTAAGCCCTTTGACAAATCTACTTTATAAGGTTAAAAAGATTCTGATTTTACAAAGTCCTCCCTGCTTATTTCCCCTCCATAGAATCCTGGGAGGCAAAGCCTCTGCCTTTACCACGTCCAGAGGGACTTCCGGTATTTATTTCCAATTCCCATTGATGGATTAAGCCAGAGAGAACATGGGGACATGCAACAGTGTGATTTGTTACCTAACACAGCTACTGATGAAAGTCAGTAGGAGAATTTATGAGACACTGCCACCCAGGAGCCCCTTTTCAGTGCACAAACTCAAACTAGTCTTTTATACACTGGTAAGATTCTTCCTCTTCATGAAACTGTTTTCCTTACTGACAGACCAATTTCTTCCCAAACATGGTCAAGAACTACCCCTCAAGATAAGGCTAACCCCAGGATGTACTGTTCCACCTCAACTTTCTGTTGACTTCATTTACATATTTTTATTATAATTATGTTCTCAAAATATAAAGAATTGCCACAGCAAATGAGAGTGATGTACTATAGAGTTTTGAACAAGATTGTTAACTCACCTGGTCAGATTCCCACTATCTTCTTGGATTCCCTGAATCTCAGAATAAATAATAAAAACTATTTCATAGTTCTGCTTGCTTTATCTTCTGGCTTTGCTCACTCTCCTCCAGATCTAGTTATTGTGCACTGCTTTCTCCAAATCTCTTTTTTAAGATTTCTATTTCCATGGGTATCACAACCTTGATGACTTCCCCCTTCTTCTAAATCATAGCTCCCCACTCTGATCAATACTTCCAACACAATATCTCTCTGATAATCACATGTGTCTTTCCACTTTTTGCTCCTATCAAAAGAAGCTTAGTGGTAACTTTTTCTTACCATGTGTGCTTTTTGTTTTCCTTTTATTTCATATATCTAGATTCCTCCAATATAAACCTAATAGAAGAATGATATTTCATTCTTCTATTATTCTCCCCCAACTCTATAGAAAATCAACTAAGCTATCCTTTCTTCAAAAGAGTGATATCTTAACAAAGCCTAGTTGTTGTTATCTTGAAAAACATATGAACTATCATTTCTGTAAGTCAAAAAAGGCAAGTAGAGACAATTTGTGTGGTTCAAACTAATACATTCAGAAGCAACAGTTTGTAATCTCCATGGATAGTTTGACATCTGTATTCAATTTTCCCAAAGTAATTTTCCATTTTCAATGCTTTTTTTTTTTTTTTTTTCTGTTGGGTTGCTTCCTCAAACTTTGAGCTTCATTGTCACATGGCTATCTGAAAAGTTTAAAGGCAACTTATTTCCTTATCATTCATCAGTCACACTCTGAACTGTCAAGGGTAAGTTCTGACTAGATAGAAATAGAAGCAACATGCAATTCAAACAGTTTTTGGGTCATTGTCATGTGTAATTAGAATTGTAGACTCTCTGCTCAATGGACATTCAGCATTTAAGTGCCCAGGTGCCACAATCCTTATGTGCCATCTATTAAGGGCAAGTTATTTACCCTTAGATGATGACTGAAGAGAACTCTTCTATCTGTCTATGTATCTGGATAAAGAAGCATTTGTATTATTCTACCCAGAATGATCCGTTTAGAATAGCTATCCAAATTCAAGTTCAAACAACCGATAAGTCACAGAACCTTAATAGAAGCTTAGGATGCCAAGTCTTCTTTCAATTATTCTACTTATCTACCTTTTTAATTCAACTTATCTCACATTAATACATAGCATGTACTTGTAACTCGTGTCAAACAGTACACCTTACTATTACTGATATACTTTATGCCCTGGTTTCATTTTTCAGAACCAAATGCTTCTGAATAAACAAACTTAATCGTGTCCTTTTGTTTTTGTAAGCCAGATAGAAAGGATTAAAACAACTAAATACCATTTATGATTCACCATGTGCCATGCACTAGATACTTTTACATACAGTAACTAGGCTACTTTTAACAGTAACCCTATATGATAGACAGAAACTTTTCTACAATTTATAGAGGAGTAAACTAAAATGTAGAGTAGTTACGTATTTTGCACACAATTAAAATCTTCTCTCAGCAGCCTCCATATTCTGTCTACTTGAGTAAAGAGGAGGTAAATTATCTCCTATTTCTATCCATGACCATAGTGTAATTCTTCCCCTTGTCTATGAGATGAGATGATATCCAAACCAAAAGATAGCTTATGGTTTGGATAAAGTAAATTTAAAGAAAAACTTCTACATTATAGCTAGGTTTCAGCAGCATTTATCTACCGTTATTATCTACTCATTTGTCTCAGATTTATTGATGCCTTTGGTGTACCAGGCAATATCATTAGGCACTATAAGAAATGTAAGTCTGAAAAATACCTGCTCCTTAATTTCAGGAGCTTAGAGTCAGGTACAGGTGACGAAATGTACATGAATCTGAGATGTTCTTGAGACAGAACAGGGAAAAACAATAAATACGATGCAAGTGATATTTAGTGCTTTAGAAACACCGATTTAGAAAGGGTAAATTTGGAGTTTTCTTAGAAACCTTAGTGAAAGAGTTCTCATTTGAGCATGGCCTTCAGAGAAACAGGATTGAGGGACAGCTTCATGAATTGGTCTCACATTCATTCCTTTTAAATGTGAGGTTGTGCATTTACTAAAGTTGATTTCCATCTGGAATACCAGACTTTAAACTCTCACCTGTGCTTGGGTCCTAGCAAAACAAAACACTCTAAATCATTTCCTTTCACTTTATGTCTTATATCAAAATGATCAGCCAAAGAGAACTAATCATCTAAATAAATGGCTTACAGCTTGGGTAGAGCCTTTCACTAAGATCACATATAATAAGCTATTGAGTAGACAAAAAATATACTTGATTTAGCAAAGCAAATCTGAGTGAGCTTAGTTATCAAATCACTAGGTATTTGAATATTTATTGAAAAAGATACTCCCCCTCCAAGAAAAAAACAAAAACAAAAACAAAAACAAAAACCCAAACTAGATTACTTTCTCTTTCATTGACTCTCTTCAATAGTATTATGGAACAGTGTTTGGTAATTACTTATCAAGGGGAGCGCAGGCTAGGAACATTTAGTTATTTGATTACAACATTTAACATAGTTTTCATCTATCTGCTATTTGTAGACAAATGTGTCAGACTCTATGGAAATATTCTTGTGAATCAGATATTCTATCTGCACATGAAAAATTTAATTCTGTTAGTGGATCTTAAGATCCCCACGACTATGTTAGTACAGGGCTGGATGGGCGTATACAAGTGTGCAAAGATATAAACAATGAAAGCACAAAATGCAACATTTAAACCTGGCTGGAAGAATAAGCATTTAAGCTAGTATTAAAAAATAG